GGTATTGAAAAAAAGGTAACATTGACGCTAACTGTTACCTTTAAGAGATGCCATGAATTTCTTTGATTCATCCTTAGCTGACGAGAAATGTATCGACATGGATCCACGTTGCCGTGCCTGGTCCAGGTGGAAATATTGCACCGATAAGGCATATAAGAACGTTATGATGCAGGCGTGCAGGAGAAGCTGTGGATTTTGCGTGGCTGGTAAGGGACTTTCTCATCCAATGTACCGGTTCTCTTCATTTCTTTAGACGAGATTTTTCCCACTCTCTCAAGACCAGTTTATGTTCCTCTCTTAGAGGGGAGGAGAATCATGGGCTCCAGGCTCTCACGAGCTCATCAAATTACGGGTATTGCGTCGATTCACAATTTTTGTTTGGATTTTTATCGTCTAAAAAAACTCGTGCCCCTCTCTCAACCAATCAGATGCGAAACTAAAACCAATTACGTCTTGGTCACCTGCGCTTACCCGCGCTTTTGGCAGTTTGCCCGTTTTCACTTTGAGTACTGCTTGGCACTTTAGGTTATTTTCGTTCCTGTGGATTGGTCGTTGTGACTACCTCGGTTTTGGGGTAACGAAACTCAATTTAGAAGTGTTCTGACGTAACGAGAATTCCAATTTTGATCGTAGAAACCCATGACTGCAGGGATCGTTTGAAATATCGCTGCAAAAGGCTAAAAGACGAAGGATACTGCGAATCAAAGAAACCAAACGAGCGAAACTCCATGAGAAATATGTGCGCTTTGACCTGCAACTTTTGTTGTAAGTGTGTGAATTTATACATATGTAGAAAATGGATAGTTAAAAACTTGAAAAGCGACTCTGGATGACACCATTTTAACCGCACAGTTTAAGTCAGTGTTTCGCACAGAAGAAGTAACTGTAAGAACTTAGTGTATACAGTATACAATTTATATTATTTTATTGTTTTTATTGTAGTTGCTATTTTTTTGTCTTGTTTATACAACTTATTCAGGAGAAATTAAGCTAAACTTGGGACATCTTAACTACCAGTCACCAATTTTTTCGAGCAATTTTTTTTTAACGACATTTACAAACGGTGACTTATAATTTGAGACCGTTGGCAAGTTGCAAACAAGCAATTTCAAAAAGGCCTACAAACAAAGTACATTCCCTCTTTTAATATTTCTTGAACTCCAGACAAAGATGTAACCGTGGCAAAAACAAAACCGGCAAGAAGACCTCCTTGTGTGGACACAATGAAAGCCTGTTTCGGCTGGTCAAGGCTTGGTTACTGTTTCGCTGACCACAGAGAGAGTTTCATGCAAGAGTACTGCAAAAGGAGTTGTAACCTGTGTTCTAGCATGAGTCCAGATCACACAAGTAAGTCATTCAGTGACGTGTGTATATCCTAGACTGTATGCAGTTTCTTCTTTGCGGCGAAGTCCGTTGCGCGAGTCAAAAAAACTAATAATGTTAGCGCGCTGAGTGGAAGCTTTGGATTTTATGGCTAAGAGGTTGCTGTTTGATTTTAGCTGAAAAATGTTTAGATAATGACATCATGTGTGAAGAACTGAAGGGCCGCGGATACTGTGAACAGGCGGACAAGAAAAAATACATGGCGTTTCATTGTAAGAGAACTTGTAAACTGTGTAATAGAAAAGAAGGTAAGCCCTTAATATCGAATACAAAACTCTAATTGTCTATGGCAGAACTTTTTCGTCAATTTGCTCTTCCTTACATAATTCAAGCAGCCTTTGAACTTGCCTGATTACACATGGCTTCATTTCAACTGACAAAATCAACGACGAAAAACGCCAACAAAAAGAGTAAATAGCTACGTTAGCAAGCGGGTTAGTGACTTTTGTAATTCAAAACGAGTCAATTAAGTTATCCCCCTTTCACCCATCCATCGCGGCCTGTATTTGCCTTCAAAAATCATAGTCGAATACTTATGTGTGTGTAAAGATGTTCACGCCTGTTTCCCGATAGGAGCACATGTACATTTTATTGCAAATGTTTAGAACAGTCTAGACAGTCAGTGTTTTATTATCTGCTGGATTATATATAGTGAGAACAAAAGAAAATTCATACTTACGCTGTTTGATTTTTTTCTTGTTGATTTTATTAGAGATGCCAGCACCATGCAAGGACAAGCATAAATCCTGTAACGCTTGGGCAGCAAGGGGTGGCTGTCACGTTAGAGCACTGTACATGATGAAATATTGCAAACGGACCTGCAACCTCTGCCGATCGATCGGATTGTACCAGATAAGTAAGTTGCTTACCTCACATTTCTCCTGCCAGCTAAGCCAGATATTGCCTGGATATGCTTCCATTTTCTCATTCAAATGTATCATTTTTTTTCAGAGCCCACGCTTCAAAATTCGCCATGCATTGACAAGTACCCTTACTGCCCCAGATTGACTGAAAAAGGCTATTGTAACCTTTTTTCTAAATTCATGTACAAGAAATGCCCACTGAGCTGTGAAGCTTGTTACCCAGGTAATGCATTCTTCCAGGTTACTTTCTCTTTGTTTTTCCAGTCTCTTTCGCAGCCGTTCTTTGGGATGTCACGCAACATTGCCGTTTCCCTTGGGGTGAGCGTCGCGTGACATCCCAAAGAATAGCTGCGAAGGAGACGAGTCTTCCTCCAGCCCGTTATCTTCATGGTTGGGCAAAGAAGTGCGAAGCGAAGGTGTGAAAACCAAATTTACGCGGCTCGAGTACTGGACGATGATTGAAGAAGGGAGAACAGTACAGTTTCTTGCGAAGAAATATGTTATAATTATACTTCAGTATGCAATTTTATTACGCTCAAGGACCTTTAGGTATTTCAGGGAGGGAATGAGACAGATCAATTTATTTTTGGTGTAGCAATTTTTTTTTTCTACAAGATATTCTTACTGAGGAATTTTCAGCAGATAAAACTTTAGCCGGCACAGTGGCCTCTCTTTTTCTTCTCAAGTAGACAGTGTATCTCCGAAAATAAAAGAGAAAAATAGAGAGAGAGAGATGGAGAAAAATATCTGTATTTTCTCTGTGAAGCCTTTGGCCCCTAAGAGTGATAGAGTGATTAGCATCTAATTTCTCCTTATGATATCTTCCCTGAATCAAATATTAAGGTCACGAGAATAAAGGAAATGATCACCAACTAAAAATGCTCTTCATTGTTGAACAAATTCTCCATGTCAGCACCTTAGGAAACGTAAAGTGTGGAGAAAATGCATAGTGATGTTAGAGTGTAAAAGGGCAACAGACAAACATGTTTTTCATTTGCTTCTCTCCCAGAGGTTGATAAAAAATTGGCAGAGAAATGTAAAAATAAGATGGATGATGCTAACTGTGAGCATTGGGCTGGACTCGGCTACTGTCAAAGCAGGGCTGACTTCATGACTGACAAGTGTCAACATGCCTGCAATTCATGCCCTAAAGGTAACAACTAACTTAGGAGTGAAATCTTGTACCTATATCTAATTTGGCC